CAAGGAGGTGTTACAGCATGCTAATTAGCTCTTTTAGTCCCACTCATTAACAGCTCTGTCAGCTCTGTTGCCACTTCCCATCATAAGGGGTGGCTACCTTCAGCGGGCAGAGGGCCACAGTGGGTTCCCAGTTCTTGTCCCCTGTCCAAGAAGAATGAGGTTACACTGACAGTTGTAGGGTGAAGAGGGTAAAGAATAGCTTTATTGAGTGATGAAACAGCTGTCAGCAGAGAAGGGATGCGAGGGTGGTTTCTTACCCCAACCTGAAGGCCGGGGAGTCCCTCTGTGTATCTGAATCTTTTATAGGCAGAGGTAGCACTGCATAGGGCATCATTCAATTGGTTTAAAAGCATTATTCAGAAAGAACCAATTGGGAAACAGTGGGCAAACAGGAACAGAAATTCTCACTTTGAGTTGTGGGTTTCATCCAGAACAAGCAGCCCAGTGTTCAGGCTTCAGGCTGTTTTTGGCTTGAAGGTGCGATTTCACTGGGCACCTGCCGCTATCTGCCTAGGGATTTGCCTCCTGCCACTATCAACTTCAAGCCCTTCAGCTCCCTGTAGTTGCCCTCATGAGGACTGTGGCAAATGCAGTAGACTCCAGTTCAGTCTCTGTGCCTGGAGAAGAAAGGGAAGCTGGTCAGAGCCCACCGGAGGTGACTCATAGGTGGCCAGTGGACAAATATGGGGGTCAGCAGGACAGCATGGTTACTTGGGCTCAGCAGTCAGACTGTTTCCTTAGAATCATGAATCAGCCCACTGAGAGTCAATGAATCTCCTACTGACCTGTTTCCTTGTCTGAAAAATGGGGTTGAAAGTTGTCCCTATGTCATGGGGCTTTTGTGAAGTTTAAATGATTTAATTCCTGTAAATCCCTTAGGAAAGTGACTGACACTTTTATTAATGCAGAATTCTGTAAAAGGGAGGGACCCATCCATTTAGCTCCTGTTTCCTTATTCCAAGTGTGAAGAGGACCAGCTCTCCCCAACACTTATCCTGACCCCCCTTCCATGCCTGCAGGTGGAGCGCTGTTCTGCCCCTTACAACCCACAGGGTGGGGGCAACCAAGAAAAGGCCAGGGTGGTGCCAGTATGAGGAAGTCACAGAGCAATACACACAAACACACCCACACATGCTATGCTTATATACATCAATGTGCAGACACATACATATACAAAAACCCATACATGCTTATAAACACACACATATATACAAATCTACATACATACAGATGCGTATCCCTTATACATCTACATGTACACACAGAGACACATGCACATTACACACTCCCTTCAGATTTGCCAATTCATTTCAAGCACTGGCTTATTCCCACTTAATCTCTTATAAGCAACTTAGGAATCTGAAAGAGAAGGACCTGAGAATTTTTGTCCCATGAGAAACAGACCCATTTCCCCAGGACTCTGGAAGTTCCTGAGCCTCATGTAGCCCTGTGCCTGAAAGCTCATGGAGAAGCAGAAAAAATGCTAACTCAGATCCAGGTCCTAGTGTCAGGGGCAGTCACAGGAACTGACTTTCCCTGGGTATTGAGGATCCGGGAGTCCAGGTCTCCTTCTTCCGACCAAACCTGTGGCTGCTCAACCTCCCCTCCATAGCCAGGGGCCCCTTCCAGGCTTTGCTGCATAGCAGGAGTCTCCACAGGGGCTCCAGAAGGAAAAGGGGCAGGAGTTTAACCCTTTCGGGTGAGGCACCCATAGGGCACCCATAGGTGAGAATAAGAAAACCCAGAGTAACATTCTGCATCTGAACTCTTGTTCCTCCAGAACACAACTCCTGTAACCACAGCCCCAGTGATCACAGCTCCAGCAACCACAACGCCAGTGACTACAGGTCAGTGGTTACTTGTGGCTGGGAAATATTCCCCTGATAGGGATGGTGGGCTCAGAAGTTGGCTCTCAGAAAGGAAGGATAGGTGAGGGGTGCTGACCCCCCGGCCTCAGCCCTAACTCTGCTGAAAATCTCCAGAAGGGCCCCTCCTCTCCTTTTCCTGAGAAGTGGCTCTCTGCCTACATCCATCTCCTTACCCCATCTCAGGGTGAGGAGCCCCTCGTGCTGTACATGGCATGTTTATCTTTGCTATTCTCCAGAAGGCACCACCACAGCCACTCCCTTCTAGAAGGTTCCATCTCCTGCAGGCCTGGTGTCCACAAGCTCTATGGTCCCTCTTCATGATGTTACCAGGTCAGTGTGATTTCCACAGGGCCCAGAACCCTAGAGTTCATCTGTGCACCGGGAGGCTCTGTGGAAGAGAAAGTAGAAAGGGCCCAGGCACAGGCCTATTGAATTGTGTCTACTCCAATGACAAAGGCAAAGGCACCATAACTCTTGATGCTTTGGCTGCTGCCAGGGCAAGGCAGGCAGCATGCCTGAAGGAACGCAGCCGAAGCCTAGCAGGGATGCAAGGAAAGGTCCTTGGAGCTCAGTGCACACATTCTCCTTCAGAGTAAGAACCTCTTCAAAATTTCTCTTATCAAGCCACCAGTCAGTGTTTCTAGATAAATGTTATCGTTACTGAGATTTATAGCTGCCGGATCTCCAGTGGGAAAGGTCAGAAGTGTGAGAAACCTTTAAGAGTCCATAAAAAAAAGCCCAGTGGTCTCCTGGAAGCAGTTCCATCTCATCAAACACTTTAAAAAATGGGGCAGGTAGCACTGCCCAAGGGACGCAAGATGGGAAGCTCCCCAAATCCACATCTCTTGCTTGTGGGGGAGCCATCCTCAGTACTTAGGCCCTACCCAACCAACAGTAGATACCAACATCCCTATGATGGATGAGCTATGGGGAAGTCCCCCCAATCTGGAGAATTGGCCCCCAATGGGGACTTGGGGAGGGCTGAGTTGGGGAGCTGTGGGAGGTCATCACCAGTGGGGCTCAAGCTTTCCCCTCCAAGCTCCAAGGATCTCCGCAGCCACAGGATGCATTCCTTCTCCACTTAGATCTTGTCTCTCTGTGAAGTACCCATTCGCCTTCCATCTCTACTTGGTGTAGAATGTAGGGGGCAATGAATGAGACTGCGTATTGCAGAGGGTCCACGTCCAAGCACAGGCAGTTATAACTGTAGTAGCCACACCACCAGTACCTGTGGTTCCTGCCAGCCCCTCCACTGCCCAGGCCAGGCAGTGTCAGTCTCGCAGACGCACCAAAGACTCTCCCTCATGGTGTCTGCTCCTCTACCCCACCCTTCTGCTCTCACAGCTGCTCCTTAGGTGACATTCACACTTAGACAAAGTTGTCTGGTCCCCTGATTATGATCTCCTTTACTTGCTGTCAGCTCTGCCTGGGAAGTGGTCTATGCTTAGTTCCAGGATACAATGAAAAAGCACTGGACAGGCAGGTACAGTCTTGGGCTTTACCATGAACTGTGTTGTTCAGGCAAGTTGTCTAACCTCCACAGCTCTGTTCATCTTGTTGTATATATGGGTCGGGGGGTGAAGACTATGAGCCCACAGGTCTGCTTCTTTGCTCACTGTAACAGATTCTAAGTGCAAGTCCCTGAAACAGGATCACAGTACACAACATTAACATAAGAGGGTACATTATGCACAGTACAGCTTTCCTTGAGGTTCTACAGAATGCAAACCTTAAGTACCAACCCTCTGCTGAAAAATCCTCTAATGAATTTCAAGGTTAAATATGAACTGTGGAATTGTTCTGCCTAGAGTAGTCACACCCTCCTCTGGGGTCCCACAGTTCACAGGCTCAAAACTCCTGATCCAACAGTTACACGCTGCAACTTTCAGACTCTCTCTCCTAGTAGGCAGTGAGCCCCTAGAAGGCAGGGACTATGTAACAATGGCCTGGCAATTTTGTTGAATAGCTGCTCCTGTCAGGATCAGCTCATAAAAAGCCAAGCACTGCTCAGCTTTTATTATGCCTCTCACTGATTTATACCTTCATTTGGCATTCAAGAACTTGTTCCAATAGTGCCAAACAGTTGGAAGATATTTACTAAAAATTATTGAACTGCAGTCTATCCTGTGAATCCACTGTGCTCAATCCCACCACACACCCTGCTGCTTCCTAACTTCTAGCTGCTTGGAATGTCTTTCTTTCATTTTCTTCATCCACTCAAATGGTACACATCCCTCAGGTTCCATGCAAAGTTCCATCTCATTCATGAAACTCCCTGACCACTGGGATATCTGGCCTATGAACTTCAGCAAACTATTTCTCTGCATTTCATTTGGCATTTGAGGAGGGACTGGTCTCTGACGTCTCTTGGTATGCCTCACAGAGTCAGTAAAGTGTTCCCAGACCTATGGGTACCACCCCATATTGTTAGCTCTTTGAGGATACACACTAGATTATACTTCTCTGGTTCTCCACCCTGAGCACCCAAAAGGCAGATGATAGGTACATCTCGGCTCCAAAAAGACTGCTGAACATGGAATGAATTAATGTCACACAGAAACTGACCTGGTGACCAGTCTGGGCCAGTTCACTCACATGACTGTAGGGGCTGGCAAGTACATAATTTTCAGGTTAGACTGGCAGGCTGGAGATCCAGGGAAGAGCTGACGCTGCAGCCTGAGGTCACAGGTAGCAGTGTTGCTGGGCTGCTGCACATTCTTTACTGTGAGATTTAGAAAAACTGTCAATTTATCATTATCCTAATATTGTCAAAAATTTAGATAGCCTATTTGCTTTTCTTTTGTTCTTATTGTTGGTGTGTTGTTATTCCTGTGAAAATCATAATTGTGCAGTGTTTTGATATCTATGAATTCAAAAACTTAATCAGAATATTAGGAACAGTAATAATAAAGTGACAAGCTTTGGATACCTTTTTGTTTCTGAATATTGTAAACATGAATCTTCTGGATCTCAGAGGGAACAAGGAAGCAATGACATTAATAATGAATCATAATCTGGAACACCTGATATTGTACAAAAAGCATAACAACTGGAAATGCCTTTGCAACTGCATAAGTTAGTTCAAGGAAACAATTAATTTGCATTTCTAAAATTTAAAAAATCCCCAATAACTTTTGACAAAACTCACAGATGGCTTTTTATTGCTAGCAATGTCAATACTGGATGCAAATCATGCTCAAAAGCTGTGTGAATAGCCAAAAGTGCTAAGCACATTCTGTCAGTGCTCATAATTCAAGGAAAACATTAGCAAAATTCAAAGAGAAAAACTTGAAAAATATTAAGAACAGCTTTGTACAATAAAGTATTTGAAAAAAGCAACACACTGGAAAAATGCCATCAGATGTTAGTATACAGTTTAGCCAAATGTGTAATTAAATACAGCATGTTACATCATTAAGTAGAAGCTTTTAAACAATTATACATGGTGCATTTTATCACAGTATAGATTAATGGTTCTGCTGGTTGCAAACCATATTCTACATAATAAGACAACTTTTGGAAAATTTATTAATCCAAGCAATAAATCATTATCAGTGAAGTGTCAACCATTTCACACAATGTATTTAAGTTTTAGTTCCTTAAATACTAAACATAAGACTTACAGGGAAATGGGTTTTTGTTGATCTGAGGAACTCAAACATACCAACCTTACTCATCAGTGCTCAAGAAAAATAGCTTTAATGTGAGATAGTTGTATGATGGTACAGATAGGGCCAGTATATGCAATGAAGAAAGTTCAGGGTTTCACCAAAATTTTAGCAAAATTTCAGGGTTTAAAAATCTAGAATATTATCACAGAAGTCACATGACTGTCTCACATTTACTCTTCCTCGTGTCCTGATCCTGCTGACTTGTCCACATGGGCAACTAGGAAGCTGGCACAACTGTACTTCTTTGTTCACTTTGGTCACCACCATTAGCTCTGCTCTTGGGCTGCCCATGTGTAGGCAGATTTCATGAAAATATCAGGTTCCCTAAGCAACATGAACTGGGAGGCTCAGAGAGGGGAGATTTCCTTAGTCACTGACTTACTGAGGGACTGACTCAAGATTCCCAGGCACTAGACAAAAGTAGTCGGGAAAGGAATCATTTCCTGATTGCCTGTTGGGGAAAAAAGAAACTATTCTTTGGATAGAACCGTCTGGATGGACTCTAACACAGTAAAGTGAAGGCAGTGCATTCTTCTTCTCAGAAGGACGGCCGATGGGGCACCACGCATCCCCACACAGGGGCTGTCCTGCGGTCCTTACAGGAGTTGCCAAGCTCCCAGAATCTCCTCCTGCTGCTATCCCCACCCTGCCTGAAAGAGGTGAGGAGGATGATGGGGAGGGAGGCAAACAGACTCGGGATAAGAGGAGTGAGTGCCCTGGTAAAACCAATTACTTAGTTAAACCTCTGGCCAAAACTCTAGGAAGGGAGGCACAAAATGGAACAGTGTTTTTTTGTTTGTTTGTTTGTTTTGCTTCTCTAGGTAAAGGTTTAACTTCAGCATGGGTAAAACTATTCTTTCCTTCTTTTTTCTCTCCCAGAGTTCTCACCACCTCCTCCCAGGCTAAACCCTTCATGTTGCAGGAGACAGAGAATCCCAGGTAAGACCTGGACTTTTTCTCCCCGCTCCCTTCCTTCCTTTTTTCACCGTGTGTGTTCAGGATAAATTATCTTGGTTTTGTTTCCGGAGGGAAAAGGGCAGAGGCCCTGACTTGAATCTCAATCACATTTCTGCACACAGTAACTGAAAAGACAGAATAGCAGAGGGGTGGGAACAATTAACACTGCTCCATGGGCTTTAGAATGGAGAAAACATAATGCCCACTCTTTTTTCTTTTACCCAAATCCAACTTCAGTTTTCTCTCCAACTCTCTAAAACCACCACCAATACTATTATCATATCATGTGTAGCTACTTGCGGGGTGGTGAAAGGCTGAGTGTGAATCATGTTCAGATAGCAGGGTGTTAAACGAAATAGTTCCTCACATCAATGCCCAAAGTCATCCTTGGTCACAATAAAAGAGAATAGAGAGAAAAAAGTATGATTATTGTATTAGATAGTGGGGTTGCAGGGTTTTTTTTTTTTTATTTTATTTTAAAAATTATTTTGTTATGATGATGTCAATTTTTTAAGAAATAAAAGAATGGAAAAAGTTGACTTGGGATTTCATAATGCAAAGAAAAAAGCAAAACAAAAAACAACAAAAAGCAAACAAAATAAAAATTTATATGTAATACCAAATTTAATCCCTTCGTAACTCTGTGAAGTGGGTCAGTACTGATGGGTCAGCTTAACTAACAGGTACTAGGAATAGATCCAATAACCAGCCATGATCGCATAGCTTGTGGAACCCAAGTTCTCTGACACTCAGCCCAGTATTCCACGTACAATGGCAACCTAAGCGAGGAGGGGGCCTCAGAGATGAGGTGGTCGACCCTTGCAATGTCGATATTCTCCAGCTTTCTCAGAGCAAGTGGCTGAATCTCTTTCATGACAGACAACTCACCACCTACCAAAGCAGCCCATTTTATTAAGTCTAATTTTTAAAAAAGATCCTTATGATGAGCACAATTCTGTGTCTCTCATACTCTATGGAAACGACCAATTTCTAACCTCTATGTCACCAAGAGTAAGTATAAATCTTCACATAATAGCCCTCCAAATATTTGAAATCTCCATAGTCGTAGCCAGGTATATTGCATCAAAATAAATGGCTATTTTCTGCAGGAGGGTTGGTCCAAATGTCCTAGCCCACCATTACTAGAAACAAGAAGTCCTCCCTATTTTTTGAATAACCATATTTATTTGCTCAAATCATACTTATTAGGGGCCTGCTATCTGCCATGCAGTGGGGATGCAGCAATACACACGTCAAATAGACATGCATTTGAAGTGTGGAAGTGGGTGCCCACCCTAGTCGGGGAGCATCTCAGGATGTCCTCCTTGAGGAGATGACATGTCAACTGAGCCCAGAGGACAACAGGAGTTGACAGGGAAGAGTATTTCCTAGAGGGAGAAGCTGGAGGCAGCTGTAGTGAGGTGCTGATGGGTTCTGGCCACCACCTGGACCACCTAGATTTGATGTTTCTCCACCCCCACTTAGTTGTGTGACCCTGGACAAGTTCCTCACCCACTGCGTGCTTTAGAACCCTCACTGTGAAACAGGAGATGTGACAGGAATGTTGTGAGGATTGTTTGAGTGAATACATATGAAGGACTTAGGACAAGCCTGGCACATTGTTAATGCTCAATCAATGTTTGCTCTCGCGACTGGAGGGAAACAAGGTAGGAGGCAGGAGCGGGGAGTGTGCAGACAGTTCCTGCTTAGCCTTTTAAGTCATTCACGGCCCAGCACTGTAACCAGAGAAGTGAGGATGAGACTTCCACTTTGAGAAAGGCCTCTCTGGCCACAGCATGTAGAGGAATGGGAGGGGATTAGAATGTGTGTGCATGGACTAGGTGGGAGGTAACTGCAGGGCCAGCATCTGTGGCACAGATTATCTCTCCTCATCCTGAACCCCTCCCTCTTCCCGTCTTAAATCCTTTTCCCGTTCCTGACCACATCCTCCACCTGTCAGAAAGTCACAGGTGTTAAGGAGGAGATTTCTGAGCACACCTTGGACAGAAGTCATGATGATGGGGCCCATGACTAGGAACCTGCTGGGAGAGGTGGCCTGCAGTGTGTCTGGAGTACACGGGGGACCCTGGGAGCATCTTCTGTGGCTGTGGCCCAGGCAGGCCTGCATCACTTGGTGCTGTACCACTATCAGATCCACCACGGGAGCCATGTGCTGTCCATTCCACAAGGAGCTCTTTCAACAGGGACACGTCAGGCCCAACTGGATTCTAGCCACCTTGGTCTCCAGTCTCCTACTCTCAAGCCCATGAGTGACAATCCAGCACAAGAAATTTGGTTCTGTGAGCAGCATCTATTGGCAGGATGACCAGCAATTCTTGTGTGTGGTTTGCAAAGATCTTACGGAGCACAAATGTCACTTAGTGCCGCAGAAGAACAAGGCCAGGTTCCACAGGTAGTCTGTCCTTTTGTTGTCTTGTCTACACCACAGAACCTTTGGTTGACTTGCCTTGTTATTGGTTTCAGTCCTATTACAAAACAACAACAACAACAAATTATTGTATTCTAAACACAGTTCCAAATGCAACAATAGTTTATCTTTTAATCCTGTATTATACAGTTTACAATTACTTGCAAATGCATAGTACCTCACTCCAAAAAACCTCAGGCATCCAGGCATCACAATTTCTCTCTCTGCATGACATAGAAACTTCCATGTCACTAGAGGATTTCACAATCCATATATAAATCCCCTGAAGACTTCTAGGTGTAAAGGAAGCATCACTGGACACAACACTGAAAATGGCAATAGGCCAGGCATGGTGGCTCATGCCTATAATCCCAGAACTTTGGGAGGCTGAGGTGGGAGGATCACCTGAGGTCAGGAGTTTGAGACTAGCCTGGCCAACATGGTGAAACCCCGTTTCTACTAAAAATACAAAAATTAGGTGTGGTGGTGCATGCCTATAGTCCCAGCTACCAGGGATGATGAGGCAGGAGAACTGCTTGAACCCTGGAGGCAGAGGTTGCAGTGAGCCAAGATCGCACCACTGCATTCCAGCCTGGGCAACAGAGTGAGACTCTGTCTCAAAAAAAAACAGGCAACAAAAGCCCTGGATAGATAGGGTTTTGGTTTTTTTTTTTTAGGTGAGCTATAACATCTGGGCAAATAAAAACACTATGTTATTCCTAGAAAAATGATATAAATCTAACTTAACCTTGTCAACATGGGGATTCATTATGTTATTCAGCAAACTAAAGGAACAGTAAGAATGTAACTGCATCTCAGGTACAACTGGAACCAGGGCTTTGAATGCAACTAAGACTCCCCACCTTTTATTTTCTCTTCTCTAGATTAGCCCAATTTTTTACACATTTCCTGTATGAACTATAACTATAGCCATTTCTAGATTAATATCTCTTGTCAGCAAAGCAAGACAGAGTTATTCTCTGGTCATGAAGAAGAGAATTCCAGAAAAGAGCTCTGAGTCAAAGGCCAAAATCCTGGCATATCTGGTGCTGTGCAGAGCTGAGAGACTGGCTGAAGAGTGTGTCAGCAGTAAGCTATCCTAGGCATAGGGCCTGACCTAGAAATCAAAAACCCTAATGTAGCAGTATTGCATCATCTGTAGCCTAGATTATGCTGCAATGATATACAACTCCCATATCTCACTGATATAAACCAAAAAGGTTTTTTTTTCATGCTACCTGTTCATCAGGAGTTGCTGAGGGGGTCACTTGGAGTCACTTGGAGATCCAGGCTTGCCAAGCAGCCACTGTTTTCAACACCAGCTATTGCCCTGCTAGTGGGCAAAGAGGGAGCTCTGGAAGAATATAAATCAGCAATTAAATTCCCAGTCCAGAAGAAATACACATCACCCCTGCTAATACCTCATTACAGGGCACAGATGATGACAATAATGACCTCTCAGGCTTAAGGACCCTTCAACTCTGAGAGAGGATATCTAGTGGTCACTCAGTTACTATCCTGTCTTTCCCTCAGGTGGAAGTGGGTGTGGTTTCCAACACCCCTAGCTATGTCCCCTGTCTGTGACAAAATCTTTGTAATCAAAAGTTTGAAGTATTTTGGAGTTCACAAGGGTATTTGTTTGCTGTTAAGACTCTTGCTCTCACTTCTACCTGACAAGAGAGAATTTGTATAGACTATTAGACATGTGACTATTTTTTTAAAGCACTAGGTATTTGGGGCAGGTCAACATGTTTCCCTATCAGAAATCACTCATAGATATGTTCTTTGAGGTCATGAATTCTATGAAATAAAAATAAAGAAGTTATTGAGCCTCTCTTGGATGCCAGCACCATGCTCAGTACTTTCCTTTTTTTCAGTATACTTACATTACTGATTATCCTTCATTTTAGTTATCATCAAAGCAAGAGTTGAAGGAATGTCCTTGGTTTAAGGCTACACCCTAGGAGGCAGAGTCAGAATTTAAATCCAGCTTTCTTTCATTTGAAAGACTGTGCTCTGTGCTGGACCACACTGTACAGTTTTTAAAGTGATCTAACAATGAGAGCATCCATCAGTGAACTTTGAGTTTACCAAACAGGAAATTGCTTTTAATGGGTTCATCTAATGGCAGGGCTAGCTCAAGGCGAAATTTTTTGCCTCCTCTCCCTCTTTTTCATTCCATACGATTCTGCTCTATCATCCAGGCTGGACTGCAGTGGCATGGTCACAGCTCACTGCAGCCTCAAACCCCTGGCTCAAGTGATCCTCCCTCCTCATCTTCCCGAGTACCTGGGACTATGGGCACATGCCAACACACCTGCTGTTTAAAATTTTTTGTAAGGATGGGGTCTATGTTCCCTAAGGTGGTCTCAAACTCCTGGCCTCAAGCAATCCTCCTGCCTCAATCTTCTGAAGTGCTGGGATTATAGGTATGAGCCACCATGCCCAGTCCCCTTCTCCCTCATTAAAAATATATTTTTAAATTTTTTTTCACTATTCAACTTCTATTTTAGGTTCAAGGGGTAGATGTGTAGGTTTGTTATATAGGTAAACTACAATGCCATGGGGGTTTTGTATACAGATAATTTTGTCGCCCAGGTCATCAGCATAATACCCAAAAGGTAGTTTTTCAGTCTTTACCCTCCTTTCGCCCTCCACCCTCAGGTAGGTCCTGGTGTCTGTTGCTCCCTTATGTCCATGTGTACTCAATGTTTAGCTCCCATTTAAAAGTGACAACATACAGTATTTGGTTTTCTGTTCCTGCATCGTCTTAAGATAATGGCCTCCAGCTCCATCCATGTTGCTGCAAAGGACATTATCTCATTCTTTATAGTTGTGTAGTATTCTATTCCATGGTGTATACACACATTTTCTTTCTTTTTTTCTTTTTTTTTTTTTTTTTTTTTGAGACGGAGTCTCACCCTGTCTCCCAGGCTGGAGTGCAATGGCATGATTTTGGCTAACTGCAACCTCTGCTTCCTAGGTTCAAACGATTATCTTGCCTTGAGTAGCTGGGATTATAGGCGCCCGTCACCATGCCCAGCTAATTTTTGTATTTTTAGTAGAGACAAGGTTTCACCATGTTGGCCAGGCTGGTCTCAAACTCCTGACCTCGCCGAACTCCACCCGCCTCGGTCTCTCGAAGTGCTAGGATTACAGGCGTGAGCCACCACCCTGGGCTTCTAGGTTGATTCCATATCTTTGCCATTGTGAATAGTGCCACAGTAAATGTATATGTGCATGTGTCTTTATGTAGAACTATTTATATTCCTTTGGGTATAGTAAAGGGATTGCTGGGTTAAACGGTAGTTTTAAGTTATCTGAGAAATTTCCAGACTGCTTTCCACAATGGCTGAACTAATTTACATTCCTGTTTGCAGTGTATAAGCATTCTCTTTTCTCCACAACCTCACCAGCATCAGTTAGTTTTTGACTTTTTTAATAATAGCCTTTCTGACTGGTGTGAGATGGTATCTCATTGTGGTTTTGGTTTGCATTCCCCTAATTAGTGATATTAAGCATTTTTTTTCTTATGTTTCTTTTGAAAAGTGTTCATGTCCTTTGCCCATTTTTTAATGGAGTTCCTTTTTGCTTACTAAGTTCCTTATAGATTCTGGTTATTAAACCTTTGTCAGATGCACAGTTTGCAGATTATTTTCTCTCATTCTGTAGGCTGTTTACTCTGTTGACAGTTTCATTTTCTGTGCAGAAGCTCTTTAGTTTAATTAAGGCTTACTTGGCAATTTTTGGTTTTGTTGCAGTTGCTTTTGGAGTCTTCATCATGAAGTCTTTGCCAGGGCTGATGTTCAAAATGGTACTTGCTAGGTTTTCTTCTAGTATTTTCATAGTTTTAGGTTTTACATTTAAGCCTTTAATCCACTTTGAGTTGATTTTTATATATGGTGAAAGATAGGGGTTCAGTTTCATTCTTCTGCCTATGGCTATCCAATTATCCCAGCACCATTTATTGAATAGGGAGTTCTTTCCCCATTGCTTGTTATTGTCAATTTTGTTGAACATCAGATGGTTTTAGGTATGTGGCTTTACTTCTGAGTTCTCTAACCTGTTCCATTAGTCTATGTGTCCGTTTCTGTACCAGTGCCATGCTGTCTTGCTTACTGTAACCTTATAATTTGAAGACAGGTAGTGTGATGCCTCCAGCTTTGTTCTTTTTGCTTAGGATTGCTTTGGCTATTTGAGCTCCTTCTTGGTTCCATATGAATTTTTGAATGTTTTTTTCCTGTGAAAAATGTCATTAGCAGTTTGAAAAGAGTAACACTGAATGTGTAAATTGCTTTGACCAGTATGGCGGTTTTAACGATATTAATTCTTCCTATCCAGAAGCATGGAATATTTTTTCCATTTGTTTGTGTAATCTGATTTCTTTGTGCAGTGTCTTATAAAATTCTCATTGTAGAGATCGTTCACCTCTTTGGTTAGCCGTATTCCTAGGTATTTTATTCTTCTTGAGGCTACTGTGAATGAAACTGCATTCTTCACATGGTTCTCTGTTTAGATGTTACTGGTGTATAGAAATGCTACAGATTTTTGTAAACTGATTTTGTATCCTGAAACTCTGCTGACGTTCTTTTTCAGATCTAGAAGCCCTCGGGAAGAGACCATGGAGTTTTCTAGGTATAGAAACATTATCTGTGAAGAGAGATAATTTGACTTCCTCCCCTCCTATCTAGATGCCTTTTCTTTCTTTCTCTCACCTGACTGCTCCGAATAGAACTTCCAGTACTATGTTGAATAGGAGTAGTGAGACTGGGCATCCTTGTCTTGTTCCAGTTCCTAAATAGAATGCTTCTAGCTTTTGCCAATTCAATATTATATTGGCTTTGGGTTTGTCAGAGATGGCTCTTATTATTTTGAGGACTGTAACTTCAAACCTAGTTTGTTGAGGGTTTTTAACATGAATGAATGTTGAATTTTACCAAAAGCTTTTTCTGCATCTACATGTGGTTTTTGTTTTTAGTTCTCTTTATGTGATGAATCACATTTATTGATTTGGGTAGGTTGAGCAACTCTGCATTCCAGGGATAAAGCCTACTTGATCATGATGGATTAGCTTTTTGGTGTGCTGCTGGATTTCATTTGGTAGTATTTTGTTGAGGATTTTTGCACATATGTTCATCAGGGTTATTGGTCTGAAGTTCTTTTCTTCTGTTGTGTCTCTGCCAGGTTCTGGTATCGGAATGATGCTGGCCTCATAGACTGAGTTAGGGAGGCGTCCCTCTTTCTCCATTTTTTTGGAATAGTTTCAGTAGGAATGATACCAGCTCCTCTTTACATGTCTGGTAGAATTTGGCTCTGAATCCATCTGGTCCAGGACTTTTTCTGGTTAGTAGGCTTTTTATTACTGACTCAATTTTTGGACCTTGTTATTGGTCTGTTCGGGGTTTCAATTTCTGGTTCAATCTTGGGAGGTTGTATGTTCCCAGGAATTTATCCATTCTTCTGGGTTTTCTAGTTTGTGTGCATAGAGGTGTTCATAATAGTCTCCAAGCGTTTTTTTGTATTTTTGTGTGGTCAGTGACAACGTCCCCTTTGTCATTCCTGATTGTGTTTATTTGGATCTTCTCCCTCCTCTGTTTATTAGTCTAGTTAGTGGCCTATCAACTTTATTTATTCTTTCAAAGAACCAACTTTTGCTTTCTTTGATCTTTTGTATGGTTTTTCTCATCTCCATTTTGTTCAGTTCAGCTCTGATTTTGGGTATTCTCTTCTGCTGGCTTTGGGGTTGGTTTGCTCTTGTTTACTTAGTTCCTCTACATGTGATGTTAGGTTGAGATCTATCTTTTTGATGTGGGCATTTAGCACTATTGTTTTCCCTTAACACTGCTTTAGCTGTGTCCCAAAGATTCTGGTATGTTTTTATCTTTGTTTTCATTAGTTGTTAACAATTACTTGATTTCTGCCTTAATTTCTCTTTGTTTACCCAAAAGTCATTCAGGAGTAGATTAATTTCCATTATATGGTTTTGAGATATCTTCTTGGTGTTTATTTTTATGGCACTGTGACTTTTATGGCACTGTGACCCAGGAGTGTGGTTGGTATTTCAGGTTTTGTTTTTGTTTTTTGAGATGAGTCTCACTCTGTCAACCAGACTGGAGTGCAATGGCATGATCTCAGCTCATTGCAACCTCCTCCTCCCAGGTTCAAGTAATTCTCGTGACTCAGCCTCCCGAGTAGCTGGGATTACAGGCACATGCCACCATGCTTGGCTAAGTTTTATATTTTTCAGTAGAGATGGGTTTTCACCATGTTGGCCAGGCTGGTCTCGAACTCTTGACCTCAAGTGATTTGCCCACCTCAGCCTTCCAAAGTGTTGGGATTACACGTGTGAGCCACCACACCCGGCTGGTATTTCAGGTTTCTTGAATTTGTTGAGAATTGCCTTCTGGCCAAGAAAGCAATTGTGGTCAGTTTTAAGAGTATGTACCACCATGAGCAGCTGAGAAGAATGTATATTCTGTTTTTGTTGGATACAGAGTGCTGTTTCTGGTTTTCCATTTGCTTGATAGATAGATCTTTCTCCATCCCCTTACTTTGAGGCTATTGGTGTCTCTGCACATGAGATGGGTCTCTTGAAGACATACAGTTGGGTCTTGCTGCTTTGTCCGACTTGCCACTCTCTGCCTATTAATTGAGGCATTTAGCTCATTTACATTCAAGGTTAATACTGATAGGTGCAGATGTGATCCTATCATCATGTTGTTAGTTGGCTGCTACGTAGACTTCATTGTTCATTTGCCTTATAGTGTCAGTGGTCTATGTACTCAAGTGTATTTTTATGATGGCCAGTATTGGTCTGTACATCTCAGGGTGGCTTAAAGCACTAGGAGAAAGCATGCAGAACAGCCCAAGGTGAAGCTCATTTGGCAGCTGAGAGTGAGTTCACACCTTGTACTCTAAAATGAGGAGGTGCTCTTTTCTTCCCACTCTAATTAAAGAAGACTGAGAAACCCTTCAGCACTTCACCGCCCCCTCCCCCCCACCCCCACCCCAGCTACCGCCACCAACTTTGTGGTAGGTTCCTGGCACTTGAGCTCTCCACAGGCCCAGGATAAAACAGCTTTCTTGAGGTCCTAAGGATACCTGATAATCATTCTCAGAGTTAATGGAATCTTCTGTATTTTCTGTGGATTTTGATTATCAACTTTTTTTTCTAACTTCTATGAGATTAGAGAATTGAAAGGCTGTCATATCACTGGAACTCAGCCAAAATGTGGTGTCTTCTCCAATATTGTCCAACTAGAAGATGTGGGAATCCCACCTGATATAAGAACTAAGAAATATGACTACAAACAAACTAAAGGGAAAATAAGAGAAGAACTTAAAGGAGAATATTTGGGAGTTTTAGGGAAGTCATAACTGTAATGAGCTAATGTCATCCATATGTCCAAGGGAAAGTGAACCTAAATTTACAGGGCAACTTCTGTGGGCCAGGTTCCTTCACACATAATTTCAAGTCATGCTAAAATGAATGCATCCAAGGAAAATTTTATCATACACAACTTATGATAAGGAAACTTATGCTTAGGAAGATTAATTAGGAGGTTAAGGTCACCAAGCCTCTAGACTGTTTAGCCAGGACCCAACCCAGGTCTGGCTTCTGTTTGGTTTTGGAGTATGTGTTATCCCCACTCCATCATGCTGCCTCTCCAACCTGCAGCCCAGTGCCCAGGGAACAGGGGTCAGGCCAAGATCAGAACAGGCACTAGCACCAATAGGCCTGGCAAGGTGGGAAGTACAGGGAAGGGGTGACTCCAGCTTACTCTTCTCTCCCTCCCAGAGGGACCATCAGGGCCATTGGCATTGTGGGTGATAGAAGTTGTAAATAGGAGGTAAGGGACAGGGATGAGATCATCTCCATATGAGTATGTGATATGAGTGGCAGGCCAGAAGTTAACAGCCGCATCCAGGGAGCCAAGGATACAGTTCCCAGTAATGGGGCTTGTGTTCTGCTCTCAAGGCTGATGCAAGAAGATGGAAGTTGTACTCTCTGTTTCTTTACTTCAATAGAAAGTAAGCTAAAAAGAGAAACTGGGAGACAGAGGTTTACAGAAGGAAATTTATAATGGGGTCATATCAAGATAATTCAAGAGGGAAAATAAGACAAGGTGACTCCTTCCCCAAATTGGTGACACAACACTAATCACTGTCCCCACAGAGTGGCTGGGCCTGCCCCCAACTACAGGAGCTCAGCTGTCTCTACCCTCTGGGCGTAGACAGGAGGCAGTGGTCATGCTGCTGCAGCCTAATGATTTGAGATTAGAATTGCCCACTGCCCCGCTGCAGGGTGTGTGCTCAGCACACTTTGACAGCTTCATTCTCTCTTCAGTCTTGAGAAAAAAATAACACTAAATAAGGAAGGTGAAGCTACAGAAAGTCCTGACTGTCAGAAAATGTTAAGATATCAGGGCAAGGAAAGACTTTAGAAATCATTCCAAATTTCATAATAGGGGTAAATCAATTGTAAGGGCCATTAAGGTTGTCAAGTGGCAGAACATGGATGCAAACCTAGGGCCCTTCACTCCTCCTCCAGTGCACTTTCCACCATGCCAGGAGGAAGGGTAAAGAGTAAAGGTGCCAGGGGAAGGGCTGAGGCTTGTCTCCTTCCACTTCTTTTCCTCACTGAAAATGTAGGATACAAATGGAGCCAAAAATTTAGGTCACTGAAAGCTACGGGTCTGCTTCAGATGGATCTATTCTTTTTCCTGGGCTCAGTGAAGTTATTTGGCCATAAAGCCCTAAGCCATGTATAATCATAACATTTTAAGAAATAGGAGCCAGGTATTAGAAGGTTCCGTTTTCTCTAAAAATAGTTCAAAGTATCTCAATGAAGTTTAGGTATCAAAAAAATAAAAATACCCCAACTTTTAAGAGCATTATGAGTAGTAAAATAAATACTTATAGCAATGGGGGTTTCAGGACAATTAACCTCTTGAACATAAGTAGATATGCTCAAGAAGGCTATCCCAAGGACAGGGCTGCATGCACAAAGATAAGAGACCAAGTTAAGTTCCAGTCAAAACAGACAGCCCTATTTCCTTCCTAGTAGCATCTGTACAGCATAGTGAATGAAGTCATGAAAAGATCCTCAAAGATCTGTGTTAGAGCAACTGTGGTTAAAATAGGAGAGTAGGAAAAGTGAGATTCTCCCGTTAAGTTACTAATAATTCAGACTTAAGACTTTTTAGAAAGACGATCATCTTTTATTTCTTTCAGGAGCCATGGCTGTAGACCTGGAGAGAGGCCAAAAAACACCTAGGCTTTTTTCAAAGGTTGGGGTATCCACATCAGTCAGCAGTGGCTTCTGCAGCAGCAGCCACAGAAAGTCAGTAATGGAAAGAGATGTACAGAAAGTCCTCTCTCCTCACCCAGAGAAGGAAGAAAACAGCAAAAAAATAAAGTCAACCCCACAATCAAGGTAGAGCTGCTTTAAAATCTGAGGTAGCCAATGACCAACACAAACCACCTTGCCCTTCTGAGACTTAGCTCTCCTGTAAAGGAGAAACCACACTGACCCTGGATCAAAATCCCCAGACAGTAGAAGTGACCTTGGATTTCAAGAAGGAGCAAATTACCTCTGCTAATGCAGATAAAGAGGCCACCATTTTTGGTTTTCAGAATTTCACAGCGAAAATAGTCCCATTCTTTGGCCTCTATTAGCCAGAGGCCCAGATGACCCTGTGTCCCTGAGATTGGACATGGCTTTCCCATGGCCTCTTATGAGAACCTGCCCAGAAATAAGTGTTTTGTTGTTGTTGTTGTTGTTGTTTGTTTGTTTTTTAGACAGAGTTTCACTCTTGCTGCCCAGGCTGGAGTGCAATGATGCAATCTCGGCTCACTGCAACTTCCACCTCCTGGGTTCAAGTGATTCTGTCTTAGCCTCCTGAGTAGCTGGAATTATAGGTGCCCACCACCACGCCCAGCTAATTTTGTATTTTTAGTAGAGACGGGGGTTTCACCATGTTGGCCAGCCTGGTCTTGAACTCCTGACCTTAGGTGATCTGTCCACCTTGGCCTCCCAAAGTGCTGGGATTTCAGGCATGGGCCACTGTGCCTGGCTGCAGTAAGTTTTTAATTACCAGAGTCAGTGGTTCCTATCATTGATTGAGCTTACTGATTGGACAATAAGAGGGTCATATGTGGCTGTCTCCAGCCATCACATTAAGGTGACACTTGAGCATGACATGAGGTCTGCATTCTCTACAATCAACTGGATTTGTCCCACTGCTTCCCAGCAAGAGCAGAAGCATGCTTGTGCCAGTTCCTAAACACCATCATTTCATTTTCAGCCCACATCCCTCCCCTGCTCAGATTTCCCACCATCTAAAGCAGCAATCCTCAAATGCTAGTGTGCACAAGGATCTAAGGCACTTGCTGAAAATGTAGATTCCTGCACCAACCCCAGAGAACCAGAAGCAACCCCTCTAGGGTAGAGCTTGAGAATTTGCTTTGAAAAAAGATCTTACATGTTTTTGGATAACACTTAAAGATGGTCCTAGAACAGTGCTTCTGGAAATTTTAATATGTAAGCAAATTAAGAGCAGCTTGTTAAAATGCAGACCTTTAAAAACTTTGTGCGGGCTTGAAATTCTGCACTCATATGTTCTCCCAGAGAAGCTGAAGCTGCTGGTTCTTTTGGCCACACTTTGAGTCACCAAAACCCAAAGGATTTCCAGCCTGTATCTGGGTCTAAGAGAGCAAAAATGTCACAAACACACATAGTTTTAACCTTCCCTGATTATCTGTGGACTAGAATCTCCTCCCTTACCTCCAGTCAGACAGGTCCCCATGGATGAGGGGGTACTGCTCTGCCTTGTGTGTCCTCAGTTTCCCTCTATGGAACTCTGTTCTGATCTCAAGCTCCCACTAGACCTGCTATTAGAAGTGCTGAATACTGATTTTCTGTGAGTATAAAGTAGTTAAGAGAAAAAAGAAACATATGTGAGGCTGTAGAGTTTCCATCTGTAGACATCAAGAAATGAGTATGAACTGTTAGGCATTCCCCAAGATTGTTGTTCAAAGATCCTCCCAAGTTTGAGACCTCAGATTCTTTCAGGTGATATTCATATCATTTACTCTTTTTTTGTTTTTTGTTTTCTTTTAACTTAGAAAGTGAATTACAGCAAGCTTTCTCCTGAAAGAACTGCAAAGATGAACCGTGACCTCTTTCTATATTCATAATTTTTGTCTTAGGGTTAAAAAGACTCCTCCAAGGACAGAAAATTGTACCTAATGATACAGCCTACGGCGCATGCTGTTCCTTTTGTCTACAGTACCTTCTACCTCTGGCTCACATGCATTCTGGTCACTGATGCACCTCCAGTTCTCACAGCTTAGTAAATTACGGTGTAGTGATCACGTCTATGTCCCTACTTCCCCAATCAAATTCTCTGAGCTATGCCAGGGTGAGGATCTGGCCCTTTTCATCTTGTAATTCCCAAAAGTCTGTGGTGGAGTGCAGAGATGACCACTAAATGAAGGAATCACTTGTACTGGTTGAAACAATATTAATAAATACCTTAGGCTCTGTGGTGAACACAGATCAGTAAATAAATGTTGGGCAATCTTCCAGACTCTCAGTGACCCACAGGATATTTGTTCCCCCATAGGGAGCACAGCTAGAGGTCCTTTACCTACCCTGCAGAGACACTGATTTGCATGGGGAGGCCTGGTGCAAGGCCTCTGCTGGGTATGAGAAGCAGTACATGCCTTTGAAGAAGCAGTACACGCCTTTGTGTGCTGTTCAGAACTTGGAGCTGGTTGGGGGCCTCCAATGCCCTGTGCTGACAAGCTGGCCTGGGGCTTCTCCTCGCTAGGGTCTTCTCTCAGTGTCTCAAGGTGTGCACATCTCTTTCTGGGCACACAGACAATGCGCTAGACAAGCGTCTCTCTCCTCTAAGGCTTGTCACCAAGCATTCCTTCCAGGGGGTGGGGTTTGGGAATTCCCACTTAATATAGCCCACCTTCTGTCATTTGGTATTTTCTAACACTGGAGTGGTGGTTCCCAATCTCTTCACCATCAAGGAGGCTTAATTTCTACCCTATTTTAATACGGTTTTAACTACCAAACAGAATCCTCTAAGTGATCATTTGTTTTCTTATACTGTTCATCAGACAGATGTAAAGAAATAAGTGAGATATTGAGATCCTAGTCTGGGCTAGCTGAGTTACGAGGGCTGCTAAAACTCTAGTAATAGGAACAGCTGTCTGCCTTCCATTCTCCTGCTATGGCAGACACTTATTTCCTTTAGAATCAGACCCCCGAGATACACGATTCATAACCTTATGGCTAGAAATAAGAGGACATGATCATTCTACAGGTCCCTTGCTCCCTTGAATTACCTCTCCTGGGCCCATTAAGAACAGGCACATGAAGAAAGAAATCCAGGGTTGAGCCACAATCACACAAAAATCTGTCCACAGATAACACCTCAAGGAGGTAGGGCCTGCCCACCTGAGTCACTGTTGTCAACATAATGCAACCTAACCATCCTGTTTTGCATTTAGCTATTCAAGACTTTTGTAACCAGTCCCTGTGGTATGGGTTCTGTTTTCCCAATTGTACCCTGACTGAATCACTGGCTATCATGTCAGAGACGTGGGACCTACTTAACCTCTTTTCCCTGGTGTCCTGGAGCCCAGGGGCTCCTATGTGGTGATGGGTGCCAGATACCTTTCCTCAACTAGGAAATAGGGGTCCAAATTTCCATAATATGTATAGATTGATTTCTTTAAAACTTATTTGTTGTCAAAATACAAATACCCTGGGCTTAGGAAGAAATTAATACTTACCAAGACTATGTCAAATAAAAACAACTACCACTAACTGAAACTGCTTAGTTATCAGATATATTATACATATTACTCTATGTAATCCTCCCAACAAAATGATATCAGCTAAGAGATGAGAAACTGGTGCCCACACCAGTGAAGCCCCATGGCATAAGTCACACAGGCAGGAAATGGTAAAGCAAAAATCCACACCTAGGTCTTCCTGGGCTTTGCCACAATGCACACTGGCTTCTTCACTGTGGATATTGCCTGACAGAATGAGTCTCAAGTAATTACAAGGATTCATCAGAAGGGAAAAGCTGACATGACCAGAACTAGAACACAGCCCAGGGAATGCAAATCTGGGTAGATCATGGTACTCGAAGCCCAAAGATCATTTGAAAGAGGTCAAAAAAAAAAAAAAAAAAAAAAAGGAGCAAAACGCACAAGTGAAATGGAGGTAAAACTTAACTATAGCTTAATTTTTACTTCAAAGACTGCTCAGCTCATTTTGGGAATGTGAGGGGAATTAAGAAGATTCTGGATAGGTTTGTAGAAGAGGCAAGGTGTGTGTGGTATATGTGGGGACAAGGGGAGCAATTATATCCTAGACCATATCCAGTAATTTTCTGGGACGAAAGAGAGCAAATGTAGACGTGAGGAAGTAGTAGCTTGAGTGGTGTCAGGTGCCATAAAGGAGACCAAGGGAAAAACCTCTGATGACCATGGGGATAGTGTAAATTGAGTAGTAAAAGAAAGGAGGACTACAGAAGTTCAAGAATGATGAGAATTGAGGAAATGAAGACAAACACAGACAACTTCACTGCAGCAAAAGAGAAGATGGTGTTACACAGGTAAACAGGATCAAGAAATGGCTTCTTTTTTTTTTTTTTTAATTCGGAGTCTCGCTCTGTCGCCAGGCTGGAGTGCAGTGGCGTGATCTCAGTTCATTGCAACCCCCGACTCCCTGGTTCAAGTCTCCTGCCTCAGCCTCCGGAGTAGCTGGGATTACAGGCACGCGCCACCATGCCTGGCTAATTTTTGTATTTTTAGTAGTGATAGGGTTTTGTCATGTTGGTTAGCATGGTCTTGATCTCCTGACCTCATGATCTGCCCGCCTCAGCCTCCCAAAGTGCTGGGATTACAGGCGTAAGCTACCACACCCGGCCTGGCTTTTTTTTTTTTTTTTTTAATGGAGTCTAGCTCTATTGCTTAGGCTGGAGTGCAGCAGTGCAATCTCAGCTCACTGCAATCTCTGCCTCTCAGGTTCAAGCAAGTCTCCTGCCTCAGCCTCCTGAGTAGCTGGGACTACTGGCATACACCACCGCACCAGCTAATTTTTGTATTTTTAGTAGAGATGGGGGTTTTGCCAATTGGCCAGGCTGGTATCAAACTCCTGACCTCAGGTGATCCACCCGCCTTGGCTTCCCAAAGTGCTGGGATTACAGACATCAGCCATCGTGCCTGGCCAAGAAATGACTTTTAAAAATGCTGATTTGAAAGCAAAAGAGAAGGAAATGGAGAGAGATTTATGATTTTAAGAAAAAAGAGGAATATGAAAATATCCAACTTTAAAAGAGTTATGATCAAAACTATAGTTGGTGTGGAATAGGCTGTTTTCCTAGAGAAATATTTTGGAATCATTTGTCTGTCTTCCCAGATATGGGCTCAGCTTCCTATAACAAGAGATCATGTTGGTCTTGATTACCCTATATCCATGGGAACTAGCACAATGTCTAACACAGAACCTTAATAAAACTTGTTTCTTAGGAACTCTTTCAATATTTGGAAAGTGAACTCTTAATGGGTATCTTCAATGCTCCACGCCCTTCCTCTATTGCAGAGATATAGGGTAATTTCCATGAGGAGTTTGTAAAGTTCTGGGTTTCTGAAGAAGGTGCTGTCTCAGGTCAACAAAACAGAAGGATCAACTTTGCTCTTTTCACCAGCCAAAGGGCAGATTCTAGAAAGATGGTTTTAAACCTTCTCTTTCTGCATTTGTAAGTGCGCAAAGATCCCATGCCTTTATTTCTCTAGAACTGGTTTTTCTTCCTCACAAGTCTCTAATCTATAACCTTAGTCCAGTCCAATGGACAAGACCATGAGGAACCTCAAACGCCTTTCCAAAGAGATTTAGATTTTACTCAAAAGGTGAAGGGGAATCATTAAAGATGAGTAGGGGAATACTACAGTCAGAGTTTTTTGTTAGAATATCACTGAGGAGGCCAAAGACTGGCAGTGTGACAAGGGAGTGAGACCAAATGCTCAGATAAAGGTAGGGAGGCAATTGTTATAGTCCAGAACTGAAACAGGACAGTGGAAGTGGAAATGGAGGGAGGGGACAACAAAGACATGTTTAGAGATATCAGAAATTGACAATTAAAATAGGCATACAGGAAGGGAAAACATATCTCATTCATTAACAAAGCACTGGCATACTGGATACCAACAGCAAATAGCAAAGAAATTGCTGTGTGTGTGTGTGTGTTTTTCTTAAGGGAAAAAAATGAGGATAAAGGGAAAAGAAAGTGATGTTACTAGCCCTCCATGTAATCTCCAAATATCTCTTCCCAGTAGTTCCATAACTGAAGGGTCAGGATCTCCATTCACGGATCTTTCTGTGGTGCTCTAAAGGGGCAGACTGAGGACTTTAAGGGCTATCACTTTCAGGTGGCTTTCTAAGCACGAGAATTCGTGGGATGAGGAGGACATGGTTATTCTTTACAGATTTACTGAAGTGAATCTGGGGGCTGATTGATGACAACACCGTGTTGATCACAGAGATAACAAAGGGGCTGAGTGTAAGATAATGGAGTTCCTGAAACCCCTATGATGAATATGTCCACCCTTCCTTTTCATCAACTGCTGGTCCCTATCTTATCCTTCTCCTATCCCAACACCATTATTCCTAAATCTTAGCTCAGGCTTGCCAGCACCTCTAGGAGTAAATCACAAGACTGAGACCAGAGCAACAAGCAAAGCAGAGATAAATGACTCAATAAGACAGCCACAGGAGGCAGGGCAAGGTGGCTCACGCTTGTAATCCCAGCACTTTGGGAGGCCGAGGCAGGCAGATCACGTGGTCAAGAGATTGAAACCATCCTGGCCAACATGGTGAAACCCTAGCTCTACTAAAAATACTAAAATTAGCTGGGCATGGTGGCATGTGCCTGTAGTCCCAGTTACTGGGAGGCAGAGGCAGGAGAATCACTTGAACCTAGGACGTGGAGGATGCAGTGAGCTGAGATCATGCCACTGCACTATAGCCTGGTGACAGAGTAAGACTCCGTCTGAAAAAAAAAAAAAAAGCCAAAGGAAAGGGACTAGAAGAGAGAGAAATACAAAAGAATAGAAAATCTGGGCCAGGTGTGGTGGCTCATGCCTGTAATCCTAGCACTTTGGGAGGCTGAGGCAGACAGATTGCCTGAACTCAGGAGTTCGAGACCAACCCAGGCAACATGGCAAAACCCCATACAAATACAAATACAAAACATTAGCTGGGCATGGTGGTGCATACCTATAGTCCTAGCTACTTGGGAGGCTGAGGCATGAGAATCACTTGAACGTGGGAGGCGGCGGAGGTTGCAGTGAGCCGAGAATTCGCCACTGCACCACTGCATTCCAGTCTGGGCAACAGAACAAGGCTCTGTCTAAAAATCAAATCAAATCAAATCAAACTCTATCACCATCACCTGGGTAGTTCCTTCCATTCTCCTATGACTTCCAATAAGTCATTAGCAGGTCACCTATCATCTCTTTAATTTCTTCAAAAACAAAATCTCAAACTTGCATTTGGGAAACTGAGAAACTTTCAGGAAACACAGAAACACGTCTTCAGGACCTTGGACAGCAGGGGGAAAAAAAAAAGCGCCCCCAGCCCAAAGCAGGACACTCACACCAGCAAGACTGCTGAGGAAATGTGACATCTCAACATGCTGATGAGGGAAAGAACGAATAAAGGGCCATACAGTCATCAATGGAGAGTGTTCAGGGGAGGTATGAAGACTCAGGCTACAACAGTCAAGAGGACCCCTGGGCCCTACAGAATGCCTAGTCCGACTTCCTAATACTCTAAGCCAGAGAAGGACATTCTCTACACCTACATTACACAGCCAACTTCCCTCTTCAGACATTGATTTTTAAAAGAATATGCAGAATAGAATATTGAGACTTTTTCAAATTCCTTAGGGAAAAATGCATAAAAACAGACCTTGCAGTTCATGGATCTAGAAATAGCCTTACAAATGATAAAGAAAATTTCACAAAGGTAAAATATCTCACCAAGGTAGAGTAACACAAGAGCTGTTGACCCAGGATTAGTCCTTGGACGGTTTTTGTTAATTTATAGTTGGTGAGTGGCTAAAGATCTGGATGATTCTTCTAGCTCTGCCACACACCAGATGTGTGACCTTTGGCAAATTACTCAATCATGCTGGGTTCCTTCTTTGAACTGAGCCCCCACCCCCACCCCATGTGTTAGGCACTGTTAGGGAATGAAAAACAAAATCAATCTCCATGCTGAAGTAGCTCTCCAGTGTAGCACAGTTCAGACATGAAAATATCAATAATCCAACAATACTAGTTAAACATATAAAAGTAGTATAGAGAAAAACATTAACAACCTGACGTTTAGAGCAAGATTAGGAGGGCTTCACAATATAAGCAAAGGGAAGTCCAGGAAGAAGAAAGTAAAAGCATCAAGCGGTGCAACAGGGCATTAGATTTAGGAAACCATCAATAATTTAGTTTTGATGGATGGCAATGGTGGGGAGAGATACAGGGTAACGAAACCTATCATATACTGATGTTGTGGAAGTCAAATGAGACAAGTCATTATAGATAATCATTAGCTACTATTATGCCAACAGCTATCCCTATGAGAAAAAAATTGCTTAATTTAATATTTATAGAAAACCTATTTGCTCACTATACTAGGGGCAGCTCCTTTTGGTCCCTTCCTAAAGAAATAGAGCCAGTTTGAAAAACAGGGAAATCAAGTTCCATAATTTCCTAGTCTATGAAACACCAGTCAAGAGGTAAAAGTGCTTCCTCTATCCATATCCTGATTCTTCCACTGAAATGTCACTTAGTGGAGCACATCTTTTACTTGTGTGATTTGAAAACAAGGCTTTGCCTATAGACCAGGGTATGCAAGGGATCACCTCTGGGACGATCTCATGGCACTGAGCACTCAAGCAAGGTGGTAACGTAAGAGTCAGACTTGATAAAGTCCATTTCCCAGGACCACTTGACAATAACGGCACAGAAAAGTGGTCTGAGGAATAATCTTCACGCTATTACCATTTTCAGCCTCTTGTACTTAATACTAATTTTCTTAGTTTCCTATAATTAGGTATGTACACATGAGCTAGTAGCAGCCACAGTCCTACAATCTGACTAGTTCATGCCCAACTCCATGCCTGCATCAGGGACATGTGGCTATTGTAGTGTCACAGAAAGTCTCTTCTCTGGTGAAGAGTATCTAGAGACACCCATGAATTTTAATATCTATACCCTGTACTGGTTTGAACAGTGTCCCCCAAACTCAGGTCCACCCAGAACCTCAGAATGTAATCTTATTTGGAAATAGGGTCTTTGAAGATACAATCAAGTTAAGATGAGGTCATACTGAATTAAAGGTGGACCCTTAATTCAACAACTAGTTTCCCTGTAAGAGGGAAACTTGGATGCAGAGAGACACACCCATAGAGATGGAGGGAGAGATTGGAGTGATGAGTCTACAAGCCAAAGAATGCCAAAGATTGCCGGCAAATGCCAAAAGCTGGGAGAGAGGCATGAAACAGATGCTCCCTCAGACCCTCCAGGAGGAACCAACCTGGCTGACACTTGGATTTCAGACTTCTGGCCTCCAGAATTTTGAGAGAATCCATTTCTGTTGTTTTAAACCACCC